AATCATCGTTCGACTCACAGGCTGCTTTCCGGCATTGATGCCAACGGCGACAAACGCCTTCCGAAGCTTCTTCTTCCATTTCTGGAGAGCAGCTCCGGCTTCATGTGGACTCCAATCCTGGAGCGACATCGTTGATGGGTACGTCTCATTCTCGAACCCCAGCGACAACAGTAGCGAAACTGAATCCTCGGCAACTTGACTAGTCGAAACCGAGTTGACTGGGAATTGAAGTTCCTGCGCAAGCGCAGGCCAGTCGGCTTTTTTCTTGGGGATGGGCTTGAACAGCTGCATCCACTCATCATTCTGCATCAGCGCTTGTACGCGGTCGAAAACGCGCTTGGCGGCTGGTGTATCACCGTTGATAGGTGGGCGAGGTGCCTTCAGCAGTGCTGAATGCTTTGCACTCGCCACCGAAGGTTTAAAACCCTCGGTCCCATCATCATAATCATCATAGGCCGGTTCCGGTCCCGCAACATCATCGAGCTCGTCGGCGAGGTTCCTCGAAAGGGACTTGGTCGCCCCGCTCAGCCCCGATGATAGCGTGGCCGTCTCCGGCGTCGCTGCGCCTGGCTCTGGAGCCGGCGTCTTGTCTTCGTAATCTTCATAATCGTGGGCGTCAGGACCGATGTCCGCTTCGTCGTCGAAGCTCACTGAAAGCTCGGTGGCGGCTGCAAAGCGCGCAGCCGGGCTTGAACCCTCGTTGCGAGCCCCGCCAGACTTGGCAGGCGTAACTGGTACCGTCGGTTGTCCTTTCGCCATGTTTCTTGTCTTTTTCTTGTTCTTCTTCTCTTGGTAGCTCGTAAACTGGAAGGCCATACAAACAGTTCACAATGGTCACAATCTGTTCCCGGGTCGCGGCACCAGTTGTGGTGTTGGAATTCCCACGTGAACTCTAGCTACAAATGTAGTTAGGATGTTCCCACAACAATACGTCTACTAGATAGTAAACGATCGTTCGGGCGGACCTGAAGACCCCAGTTCTGCCCTTGCACCGGGACAAACTGGACCTTGTAAACTACTTATATAGGCCAACCAGTAAAATATGAGCACGCTACTAGCACGAGCAAACCTAGCAGGTGTTTTGAATTCTCGTGGTCCCAACAGCGGAAGGGTACCAGGCACCGGGTTAAGTCTCTTTAATAACAATACTCCCATGGTTCCACACTCGGCTGGAAGAACTAAGAGGGAGGGCAGTTCAAGCACTCTCAGTTCGTGCAGAGAGGTAACCATTAGCCGTCACGCTAAAACTCCTCATATATATATCGCCAATACACCAGTCTCTGGCCTGCGGATGAACTCTCGCTACAGAGCTTCGAGTTCACGACAGGCATAACACACTCAAACAAGCTTGACCTGACGCTTACCTTGAAGCCGGACGTCGCTCTGTGTGCTTGAGTGGGAAATTCTGTTCTGTATTTAAGCTTACCCTTTCGGGTCTATTCCTAATAAGAAGTCCTAATCAAGTATACAAATATCAAGTGAAAAATGATCCGTTATGGATCTTCTTGCATGCCAAGCGTCGTCTGCACCGTCGCATGAGCATCTTTAACGGTCCGCGCCCTGTCTCAGACGGTGAACGTGTCTTCCAAAGGTCGCTGAGTCTTCCGCGAACTCATCTCAACCGCCACTGAGGGTTCGTACCGTAGATGGTCCGCTGAATGCGAATCCGACCAGTCCATTATTAATAATAAGGACAGCCTGGATTCAGCGACATATGCCCGTATCCAATACTCGTTGAACGTTCGGAGGTGACGCCGTCGAGTCCCTTGCACCTTGGCGTCTCCGTACATCACCTGACCGAGGGTTCGTCGCTTGAACAACTTGGGCGGTGTCACGTCTTTGTCGACGGGTGATAATCCGCAACTACGGAGAAATCACTACACCACAACTGCCCCTGTCGCAATGGAAGCCACGGTACTGGTGCCCGTTGTGACATTTCTTCATTCTTCAATTCACCATCTCGTCACCGTATGTCCAAGCGTCTGAATCGAGCCGTGTCCGACGCTTTTCAGCGTCTCAATCCTCGTAGACGTCGCGAACGTGAGCAGCTGGAGGTACGTCAGCCCATCCTTCTCCTGAATCATCGGTACCTTGCTCATCACCTCGCATTACTCGACTTGTTTCTCAGGAGGGCAAGACCGAGGGTTCGAACGCTCCTCAGTCTGCTGCACTTCCTCCGACAGCGGCGTCATCAACCGCCTTCCGGCGCTTCCTGCCCCGGACTCTTCACTCCCTGCGGTAGCTCCTGCAGCACTCCCCGTCGTCGCTGAATTCGCGGAGATGGCTCCTGCTGCTCCTCCTGCGCCTGCTGGTGGTACACACCACTCAATGAAGATTCGCTGCGTGCCATGCTGGCTGAAAGTACGGAGGCATCGGTCGATCACATGATGACCTCGATAATTCCGTACTTGACCGCAATGGCTCGTCACCAAGTGCAGCTCAGCGTTGCGCCTCCTCTCCACGGCGATGTACACACTCAACGTCGCCTCGAGACTGCTGTTGGCTTCGATGATGTCCTCGCTGCGGTACAACCTCTTCCTGACGCGCTGTCGGCATTACCCGAACGAGTCGCCGACTTGGAGCGTCAGTTGCGGTTTGCTCAGTCCGAGGCTGCTGCCGCCGTACGCTCGGTGGCACCCGAAATCATGGCTCCCGCTGCAAGCATACCTTGCAGATATGAACAACTTCTCCCTTGCCGTCCTGTTCAAGCAGCAACGTCAGAGGGTTATCGTTAGCATCACCGCAGGAATTCTCGAACTTAGTTCGATGACACGAACCTTCAGCACGAAAGGATGTTCGGATATC